AGTTGTCCTCTCTGGGTTTGTTTCTGCTTTGTTCCTCTGCAAGGAGCGCCCATGCTCTTCCTAGCTGCAAACCAGCCCTGTGTAAGGAAGCAGTTAGCCTTGTGCCAGCTGGACGGAGAGCTTTTTCCCGAGGCTTTTCTGCCTCTGGTGCTGGGAAGATCCATGGCAATGGTGTCCTGGTACTTGGTGTCAGTGAACTAATGAGGGAGACCTCTGAAGCTTAGCTACTCCGATGGGGGAAGTTCAGGAAAGTTGAGTCTGAATTGGAGTTTTTCCTGGCTAGTCTTGAACCTCTCACCTGCAGCTCCCTTGAGGGTGGGTGGTTCAGAAGCAGCTGCACCTTCCAAAGGTGCTTACAGGGTCTTGAACCTGGGGAGTGCTACCCCTGAAGCTCTGGGGCTCCTGTGCTGAGTTGTGAGCTTGGAGCAATGGCTGGGTTGTCTACGCAGCTTTGGGGTCAGTTTGTTTCCAAATGCCCACCTGCGCCTTGTGTACCCTCTTGGTAGCTGCTTTGGTGGCTTGGTTTTGGTTCAATGGTGTTTTGTTGTGCAGACGAGGGGTGGGGTTTTAAACAATTTAAATACTCTCTGTGGATTAAAAGCTGTGTTCTGGCACATTGGTATTTTAGGGGAAATGAAGGTGGTATTACTAATAAAAGTATAGCTAGTTAGAGAGGCTCATTAGGGAATTGTGTATTGCATCTTGTTAGGTTTTAATCAGCAAGGTGTTCTACATTAATGACCCTAGCTGGCTCTCTAAGGAGCTTAAGGGAAGGAGTGCCAGAAAGGCACCTGCAGGGCAGTGAGGAAAGCGCTGGGTCAGTGAGTATGGGGCTGTGCACCCACATTTTCTGCAGAGACAGCACAAGGCTGCATGGGAATGGACTGCGCAGGTGGCGTCTGAGTACTTTGCCCTGCTCTGGCTGTACTGGTCACTTCCAGCTCTTGTGTGTCCCTTCTGCTCTGCTGGGAGAAACCAGGTAGTCCTGAAAGAAGAGGAGAAATGAGGATTAGTGCAGGTCCTGTGTGGTAAAAAGTTGGTTGCTGTCTGCTCCTACCCCTGTTGCAAGGGGCAATCACAGCATAGCTTCTGGGCTAATCAGTGGCTTTGACTTTGCTGTGGGCACAGCTGTGGTCTGGTTGGGCAGCTCACATGGTGGGCGGTGACATGGTGATGTGCCCTTCCCTGGCTTCAAGTGTCTCCATCAGTGGAGACAGTGTGGGAATGTGTTGCTCTTGAGCAGCAGAGACCACATCCCTGTCTTGCTTTGCTCTGGCTGCTGTGTCCTTAGCGAAGGTTTGCTCTTTGCAGAGTATGAAGCTGTGATGGACAGAAGGTTTGGGCTGGAACCAGGGACTCTCTTTCGGGGCCTCAAAAAGGTAGGACCAGTACCAGCATCTTTTATTTTGTGGCAGTAACATGAACGTCATGTCTCCATACCCTTTGCTTACCTGAGCTTCAGATTTAGCTTCAGAGGTTTGTAGTAACTTTGCAGATTTAGATATTCATAGCTATTTTAGTCTCCTCCTAATGCAGAAGAGGGACTTCTTAGGTGTGCCTGGATCTAAGAATCATAACCAAAGTTTTGTTTCTTTTCTTGATCCATGACCTAAGTGTTTCTTCTTTGTTACATCACTTAATAACCTTCTGTTTTACTGTTTGGCCTTAAAAGCTATGATCACCCTTGACATTTCCTGTAGCTTTTTTCCCCTCCTTTTCCTTGTCACTGGATGATTTGGATAATGCTTAACATCAGTGAACATGCGTTTTCCTCTTGCCTGTAGTGCAGTGTAAGGGAGGACAGATATTTTTTTTTAGGTATAAGAGCTTAAAGAAACATGGTTGGTCTTAAAACTAATAAGAAAACTAGCACCCCTCTACCCCAAACCAGAAAAAACCAACCGACTCCTCCCCACCTTGCTTGCTTTTGACCTCACGTACTTTTGAAGAAGCGCGACTAATGCATGCCGCTAATATCGAGGATGATTTACACAAGACCAGGAATGCATGTCTGTGAAAGTATTTTGGTGTTGAGGCCCACCATGACTGCTGGTAAGGGACCCCTTGACATGTGCTTTCAAGAAAGTCATAAAGCAGTTGTGGAGATGAACTTTTAGTGGGCCTCTGTATGGGACATGGGGTTATCAGCTGATCCTTACCTAATTTAGATAAAAGCTTCATGTCTCCAGCTGACCTGACTTCAACTGATCCTATTTAGGCTTTGTTGAAACAGGAAGTGCACTGTCTTTTCCAGCCAGGTGCCTTTTCACCCAAGCTCTTGGTTTTCCAAAGCAGAGCAGAGTTCCTGTCTGAATTCCTCAGAAGAACTGAGGGGCATGTGCAGGGAAGGTAGTTCTTTGCTTCTCTGTTGCATTTCTTAAAAGACCAGTAGAAGCTGGAAAAAGAAAAATTCCTGGCTGAACTTTGCATGAGTTAAGTATAGTCCAAAGATGTTTTTGCTTAGGTTTTTTTTTCCTTTAGAAAGGAAAAATAATTAAAAGGATCAGGGCAAACAGAGTGGTGAAATTTGTTGGATTTGAAAAGACTGTCATTAACAGTTATAGCAGGCTAATGTGTTGTTTCCTGAGAAGCTTCTTGACAGGGAACCAAAGCAAGGATGTGTTGGACTGGGAAGGCCAGAGAAGTGGGACCTTTGTTCCAGGCTTCATCTCTGTAATCACTAGCCTGTTCCCCCTGCCCCAGGGAGGAGGGGGGATGTGTGAGGGGGTGCTTCCATACCTACTTTGTGTTTAGAATCACAGAATCGCTCGGTTGGAGAAGACCTCTGAGATCATCATGTCAACCGTTCCTGTCTACCCACTAAACCACATCCTTAAGTACCTCATCTACTCGCTTTTTAAGCACATCCAGGGATGGTGACTCCACCACCTCCCTGGGCAGCCTGTTCCAGCTTCTGACGACCCTCTCAGTAAAGAACTTCCTCCTTATCTCTAGCCTGAACCTCCCTTGGCACAGCTTGGTGCCATTTTCCCTTGTTCTATCCCCCATCACCTGGGAGAAGAGACCAGCACCCACCTCTCTACAGCCTCCCTTTAGGCAGTTGTAGGTGGTGATGAGGTCTCCCCTCAGCCTTCTCTTCTTCAGGCTAAACAATGCCAGTTCCCTTAGCCGTTCCTCATAAAGCTTGTTGAGGCTTGAGGGCTCCAGACCCCTCACCATCCTTGTGGCTCTTCTCTGAACACGCTCCAGAATCTCAACATCTTTCTTATAGTGAGGGGCCCAGAACTGAACACAGTACTCGAGGTGCGGCCTCACCAGTGCCGAGTACAGGGGGATAATCACCTCCCTGGACCTGCTGGTCACACTGTTTTTAATACAGGCCAAGATGCCATTGGCTTTTCTGGCCATGTGGGCACAGTGCTGGCTCATGTGAAGCTCCTCCAGGCAGCAAGCTCCCATGGCATTTGTGGGGAAAGTCAGCTATAGCTGCTTGGTCAGATTCAGTGCTGGTATGGGGTTTAGGAGTCACGACACCATCTAAAGCTCTCTATCTGAATTTCGCATCACTGCAAGTCAAAATGGCGCTGTCAGAGCTCACCTATAAGTGATCATGCAATATTGCTGAAAGAAGATATTCCCCAAATGTAGAGTTCTGTGCTGTTGGGTAACAGACCCTGTGTGTTATGGAGACATTTCCTTGCCTTATAAGAACATGCTTTTATGACCAGATACATATACTGACCAGTTCCCTTGGTGTCCTAGGACCCAATGGACTTTGAGTGGAGCTACTGGATCGAATGGGGAAGGGAACGTATACTGTGGCTTCTGGCTGGTCACCTGCTGGTCTCACAAGTGTCCAGGCTCTTGGTGGAGAAGGTTTGTATGGATTTTCTTCACAGTAGGGAGTTTCTGTGAGTGTCAGTTTACTCTCTGCATGGGGAAACTCAGCACTGAGGCTTACCGAGTGTGAGTGATCCCATTCTGTGGGGTGAACTGTGTGTGTCTAACTCTGCACCAGGTGACGGCAAGTAGGTAGGCTTTTGTAGGTCTGTAATTGGAGACTTCAAACTCCAACCCTTGAAAGCCTGTGCTTTCTTGTGAACCATTAAGCAGTGACATTTGACCTGTACACAAAAGAAGGGTATAGTTATTCCCTTCCAAGACTGAAGTGATGACTACTTGGGTTTTGCCACGATCACTAAACAATTGCGTGATTGTGGAAAATGACTGGCCACACCTGCTGGTTTGGGGAAGGAAAGGAGTAAGTTATGTTCCTGCCAAATTGCAGAGGCTCTGGATTTCGCATGCTCTGCTAAGGGAAATGCCTTCCCTTCCATCTTTATGGACACAGTTGGGTTTCCCTGCATTGTTTATTACGTGTTCTTAACCTTGTTGACTGTGTGTGGTTTTACTGTAGACCCTGTGTAGAACAGCACAGATATTGAGTACTTTTTTCTCTATTAATAATCAAACTAAAAATTGTTCATTTTTCTTTTTCTAACAGTATAAACCATGGTGCTTGATGGCTTATGGGATGGCTGCCTGCTGGTTGTTACTGGGAATCAAGGGCTTTGCCATCATTTTGTTGCATGCAACTATTTCATTTGCTGTGGCTCAGTTTCAGCTGTCGCTCCTGACGTGGTTGTGCTCCCTTATCCTGCTATCCACTTTACGCATACCAGCTGTGGAAGAAGCCAAGGTAATAGAAGAAGGACTAATTAAGCAGCAAATTAATTATGGTGGCATTTGTTGTTACAGCAGCTATCTTTTTGACAGTCCCTTCAGTTGATGTAAGTGGAGGTTGGGTTGAAGAACTTCAGGCAGTAGAGCTGCAGTGGCTCATGCTGGAGCTTCTCCAGTTAGAAAAGTCATTATTTCTAAAACATGCTGGCTGGTGCATTAAGATGAAAATATGTGCCTTAATGTATAAGTGGTGTTCAGTGGAGCTGGAGTACGCCAATACTGTACCAGTGCTCTAGTAAGCACATTTCCTATTCATTGGAACTGTAATCATACCAGCTTAAGGTGCTGGATTTTGGGTTCATATCTAGGAGTTGCTTAGTCAAGCCTCACCATGTTATTGGTGGCTGCAGGCTTCTGCATGGAAAGGAGACTGTTTCTTCAGCACCTTGATTTGCACCAAACTAATTGCTTGCTCACAACTCATTGGAAAGTTTTGGTCTTTCTCCAATGACTTCTGGGCAGTACAGATTTTAGAGAAACTGCTGCTCGGTTGTGAGGAAAATGTCCTGGTTCTGTTTACTTGGACAAAGGGTTAAGACTGGGCATATGTTATAAGTCTTGTCCTGAGGTTCAGAGGGAGGGCAGAGGGGAGGAGTGGGTAGGGTCTCTTCATGTGGTGTAAACAGATTTGTCTTGCTGAGAGGAAGAAAGGACGCATTGCGATACAAATGTAATCAGCCAAACTATGTTTGATGTTTCCAGGTTTTCTGTGATGTAGCTTTTGTTGTTGGAAACAGGTGTGACTGGGAGTGTCAGAAACTTGGTAAAGGCTCAGTGACATCTTTCCAGCCTCAGGCTTTCTCAGGAGTGACTGATTCTCTTCAGATCTGAACTGCAACCTTGGCTTAGCCCTAGCTGTCCCTTGGCTGTCAGCAGGGTTGCCAGCTGGTTTGGATATTGTATTACTGGACCAAACCTGAGGGAGGT